AGTGGTTTTATTAATGATAAATCTAATCGATTAATTGGTTGGGCAACGATGAGACAATTGCGTGTCAAATCAACATTATGTCAGATTCAAAATGAAATTACTTCAATATGCCAATATGATTATAATTTCTATAATGAAGATAAATATTCCTATAAACCAGGATGGAAAAATGAAATAATACAAAATTATAGTTCAGCAATTTTTCAATCATTTCAATATTCAACAAGTGAAGATTTAGATACATATAGTTATATTGGAGAATATGGAACTTATAGTGGAAATGGTTATGTATATGAATTTCGTGGTCGTTTAGTTGATCTTCAAAGTAATTTATCATTACTTCATCAATTAGAATGGATTAATAATCAAACAAGAGCTATTATTATTCAATTAACTTTATATAATCCAAATGTTCAATTATTTACTTCAGTTACATTTCTTGCAGAATTCTTATCATCAACTGGAATATTTACAAGTGCTCGTTTTGAACCAATGAATTTTTATAGTATGTTTTCTTTTGTTTTAATAAGATTGAAAAATATTTTCTTTTTATTTAGCATTTACATCGATAACTCAATTAATTTGTATAATTATCTATATGATAATTATCATCTATTTCATGTGGATGGAAATTCAATTAGTATTTAAATTAAAATGGAAATATTTTCATCAATTTTGGTCTTATATTGAAATTGGTATAATAATATGTTCATGGACAAGTGTCGGTATTTATATTTGGCGATATAATGAATCTAAACGTATTGGAAAATTATTTAATGAAACAAATGGATATGTTTATATAAATTTACAATTAGCATCATATGTTAATGATATTTTAATTTATTTATATGGTTTTTGTTCATTTTTTGGTACAATTAAATTGATTAAATTATTTCGTTTTAATCAACGTCTCTGTTTATTTATTCAAACATTAAAATATTGTGGCAAAGAATTATTAGCATTTTTCATGATGTTTTCAATTATATTTTTTTCATTTGTTTGTCTGTTTTATTTATTATTTATTTCAAAACTTGAATCATGTTCAACTTTATTAAAAACAATACAAATGTTATTTCAAACGATTTTAATGAAATTTGATGCACATGAATTAGTTGAAGCTGGAGGATTTCTTGGACCATTTTCTTTTAGTTTATTCATTATTTTCATTGTTTTTATATGCATAAGTATGTTTATATCAATAATTAATGATAGTTTTCGTCATGTTAGAAAAAATATTCCAAATGATAATGAAGATATATTTTTATTTATGGGAAAAAAATTTTTATATTGGATAGGTATTAAAATTTTATTAAATCACATATAATTTCCTTGATAATATTTTAGGATGGGAAAAATCTATAAAAGACGAACAAACAGATCTGGAATATGTGGATCCAATTGAACAGTTTCCAGAAAAAATTGATCAATTATTAAATGCATTAAATCGAGTATGTTTAATATTTATTTTATTTCATAAATACTTATTCTTATTCATTTATAGTTATATACAAATCAATACAATTAATAAATATATTGTGGTTTATGTACTTTCTTTGTTTTGTCTTTATTTGTCAAATTATTAAAAGAGAATGTGATTGAAAATATATAAATTTTTGAGTGTCTGAATGTTTAAAAAAACAAAAAGAGTTATCGTGTTATTTTGTAGAGCATGGACCAAATATATTGCACAATCAACCTCAATACTGTTACGGCAAAGGTTTAATTTTGTGAGTTTCTAAGCGTAAAAAAAGAGATAATAATATAGTGATAATCACTGTATTTTTTTCTAAGGTATCAGCAAGATGTTTTGCAACTGTGTCGCCGATCGAATTGGATTCGAGGTTTAGTGCAGTGAGTGTCTATGTATACAAAAGAAAGTAAAGACGAAAGATATGAATATAGAATGATGCTTACGATGTTATTTTCTAGAGAGTGACCGAGATACTGTACTCCTTCGGCACTAATTCGATTTCTATAAAGATTCAATGTATTTAGAGTACAGATGTGTGGAAACGAGACTAATGCAGAAATCTGTGGTTATATAATGACTTTAACTTTGTCAATTTTTAAGTGATGTTCGTGTATATTATAAATCATTTTATTATTGCCATACTAATATCTCGCAATACACAAAGAAAAACTGAAAAAGCAGAAATATACTCGACCTCCAGAAAACCTGTCGAGACCAGCAGTGAAGTGTATAGTAAAATCTTGTATGGTGTTAATGCAAATAGCCAGTAAATCATATAAAGCGGAGCTTCGTTCAAAAAAAATGAACTGAAAAGTGTTAGTCGTGAACTAAATAAATTAAAAAAATGAGTATTAAAGGATTTTTTTTAGAAGTACTATAAATAAATTTTGGCTTAGTTTTCTCGAAGTTGACATTAGAGATGGGAGGAACTCGTCTATGTCCTGGTCTCGCACATCTCTAGTACCGGGCCAGGTCTGGAAAATTGAGACCCATTTCGAGCCCTGATGTTTTTTCCTCGGAAAAAATCATGCTTCTTGTGTTTATGTCTGGCATATTCAAACTTTGAAAGAATACTTGCCTCACTATTTTCCAACGAAAAAAAAGTCATCAATTTAATTTAGTATTTTTTCTACTGTTATCATAAAGATACTGTTTTCTATTCACAAGAAGTTAACTTTTTTTGCCATCGTTGTTTTATTTAGATGTAGTTTTTGTTTTGAAGCAACATAGTTTGTATTGTTATGATTATAAGAGACGTAGATGTTTTCAGCAGTTCTTTGTTTCTATCTTTTCTTTTTGAAGAAAAATCGAAAAGATTTTCCAACTAATTTTTTCTTCTTTTGCATACATAATACATCATAGTAACGTATAAATGAAAGAAAAGCAAAGGCAAAACATTTACTGGATGAATATTTTTCATTGAGAGAAAGAACCAGTTTAGAATGTGTTGTTGTGATTAACAATTATTAAACTTATTTTAGAATACTAAAAAAACTGTTTGTTTTATCCTTAATTCATACTATTATACATACACATCAATCGTAATTTTCACTTGATGAACAAAAATGTGATTATCTATTGAGTTACAAGTCATAGAATTTTTCTATCGATCAAAAACGCAACAATAGAAACGATACGACAGGAAAAAAATGCGAGATTTTCAAAATGTTGTTATACTATATGTTATAGGCATTTGAAAAAACCCAGATGCAGCAAGTTTCAATTAAGAAGACTGCATAGTTTGTTTTAGTTATGTTGTCTAATCAAACAGCTCATCTGATCATTCTCGATTTAGATGCTAATGATCAACTTTATTCTTCATCTTTATTCATTTTCCATAGCACCCAAAAGATCTATTTATGAATATATTTGTTCTCAAATAACATTTCAAAACAGGCATATCATTTTTCTGAATGGATAATATTTTTTCAAAATAAAGAATAAACAGGACCCAGGTCGACGGCTGGATGTGAGATAAAAACAGCATCCTCACTCATATTCAAGCATACTCGTCAATTGACGATCCACTGTCATTACAATCTAAAAGAAGTTAAATAAATCGTTGCTCATTGAAAAAAAAACATCTATTTTATAGTTATGTATGATACATTCAAATAATGAAAGAAAGTAAAGACGTCATTAACTTTGTTTAGTAATTTTTCTAATGTAATTATGGAGATGCCGTTTTCCATCCACAGAAAATTTGCATATATTACCATCATTGTTTTACTCAATACACATGTACTTTTTCTTATTGCTACTACAGCAAACCTTGATATTTTCACAAACTGTCTGTTTCTATCGTTTCTTTCAAAAAATAATCAAAAAGATTGTCCATCTAACTTTGTCTTCTGCTTCATACATTATATATCACAGCAGCATAGAAACGAAGAAAAAGAAAAGAAAAGAAAAGCAAGTTATTAGTGGATAAATGTGTTTCCTCGAGGAAAAAAAAACAGTTTAGAATGTGTTGTTATGATAAACAATTATTAA